CTACTTGTTAGATCTTTCTTGCATATCTCTGTCTTCCTGAGAAACCACTTTGAAGATACCACCATGTATTACATCAGCCATTGATAGTTTCCTACTAATCTATCCATAACTCTGTAACATTTGTATTGTTCCTATGCTATTTCGTAAAGGGATGTATGTTTATTACTATGTGTTTCCTACAACCACCATTGAGGATAGTCAATGAATATTCAATTGGTCATTCATGTACAGCTCTATTTTCTTTAGAAACCACTTTGAAGATACCAAAGTATAGTACAACAACCATTGATAATAACCTACCACTTTTGTCTGTTACTCACTATTATTTGTCTATTTGTTTTCCTGAGAAACTATCTTCTAGATAACAATATGTAAAATAACAACCACTGATAATTTCCTACCACTGTCTGTAATTTGATAAGCCCCCCCATTACTATGTTATCCTTCTTTTACTCTTTAAAATAATAATAATAATAATAAAAGAATATCTCTTCACTCCAACAAATACAGGCATCCCCATGTATGCACAGAGAATTGATTCTAGCAAAACACCCCTACCCACGGATACCAAGCTTTGTGGATGTTCAATCCCTTTAAATAAAACAGCAGAGGAGCTAGGAATGTAGCTCAGTAGTCGAGAAGTAGTCTAGCATGTGTAAGGCCTGGGGTTTAATCTTCATAGCACCGAAAACCAATTAACTAATTAGGATAATGTTTGTACATCTGTACACATCCTGTTATATACTTTATATCATAGTTAAATTACTTATAATACCTAATCCAATATAGATAGTAGGTAATAATTGTAACACTTTATTGTTTAGGGAACAATGGCAAGAAAAAGTCTGGAAATGTTCAATATAAACACAACCGCAGTACATAGCACACTATCTGCAACTAATTGAATCTGTGGGTGCAGAATTCATAGATACAAAGGGTTGACCATATTAATGGAGCTCTTTCTGCATGTCAGGCACTGTTCAAAATGTTAGGGATACAACAGAAAATAAAAGTGACAAAAATTTTGAAAGCGGGTGCAAGGTGAATCATGGAGGGAAGGACTAAGCCTTTGATAACTTCCAGTCCTTTCCAAGCACTTACGTGTACATGCCACTGACTCCTCGCTTGACAAGCTCCCTGATGAAACTTCGCCACAAACACTGCCCCTGTGTTTGTCAGCTGCAGTTAGGATTATGATTGGGTTATGAAGTAGAATAAAAAAGAAAGAGGAGATTTTCCAAGAATGGAAGATATGAGCTGGAGAAAAGCAAAGGAAAAAAGAAAAGGAACTAGGAAGAAGATAGAGAGAGGAAAAAAGAAAGAAAGTGAAATGTCAATAGGGTTTGATTTGTATGGAATTATCTGAGTTAAATTATAGGAGCAAAATTCTGGAAAACTTTAAAGTTAAAAAAAAGTCTCAAAGAAAGATATTGGCACTGACTAGAGGGGTACAATAAAGATGATCTTTGCTGAAGGCTGAATGTAGACGCTGTACTATAAAAGTGTCTCCTTCCTTTGATTTGCTTCAGGAACTTCCTGTTTCCTGATGGACATCCCTGGCATATCTCTCCTCTTAGATCTGGTCCTTGCTCTTAATCAGCTGCTGTCAATTTTGTCTTTTGGGTACCTTCTTCGTTTCTCAACACCATAAGCTGTCTTTCCCAAGAGTTGCAGTTTGATTTCTCTTTTTTTTTTTTTTTTTTCATCTGCAGGAATTAACTACCTGCTCCCAAGCCAATAAAGAAAAGCTGAGGACCTGATGAATTCACCACAGAATTTTACCAAAACTTCAAGAAAGAACAAGTCAAACACTCTTCACACTGTTTCATAAAATTGAAAGGGAAGGAGCACTGCTAAACTCGTTCCTTGAAGCTGGAATTACCCTGAATACAAAAATCAGACAAGAACTCAACAGAAAAAGAAAACTACAAGCCAGTTTCCTTAATGAACACAGATGCAAAAATCCTCAACAACATAACTGCAAAGAAAATATAGCAAGTCATTAAAAAGATCATACACTGTGACCAAGAAGTCTTTGATGAAATCCAATATATGATCGTGAAACACAGGTATAAAAACCTTACCTCAAACTGATAAAAGCCATTGTCTTGGTTACTTTTCTCTCGTTGCTGGGACAAAATACCTGATGCCCAAAATTAAGGAAGGAAAGGTTTATTTCTCTTACAGTTTGTAGAGGTTTCAGTCCATACTTGGCAGATTATAAGGCAGAGTGGCACATGGCAGAGAGCTACAGCTCATGGCGTCTGAACACAGCAAAAGCAACAAGCACACACAAGGGTGGAATGGCCTCAAGCACCCTTTTCCTCTCCCTTACATACGCAAACTATCTACCCCAGGGCAGGTGTAGCTCTCACACCCATAATCAAACTCTAAAAGCCTGCCCCATGACAGCATGAGGCTTTGGGGGGACACCCAGACACAAACCATAACAGCCATTTATAAGCCCACTGCCAATATCATACTAGTTTTTTTTATTTTAATGTAAAACAAGTACATATTAATAAACAAAATATAAAAAGCACTCTTTTTACTTGTATGAAAAACTAAAATAAAATCTGATAAGAAAATAATTAGAGAATAGCAATAGTTAGTATAGTGTTACCAAGACCTTAAAGCAATGGCCAAAATGTTGAGTACAAGTCATAGATAAAAAAATGACTCCCTCTTTCAAAGAATAAACAAACAAGTAAAAAAAAATTTCTTTGCAAAGAACAAAAAGAAACTAGTAATATAAATGAAATAAATTAGTATACATCTTAAAATAGTTTTGAAACAATAGAATAGAAAATAGATAATTTAGGAAATTATTTAAATTTCTCCGGGGCTGGGTATTTAGCTCAGCGGCAAAAGC